AATCGCAGCACATTCTGACGAGCGTAATAGAGCATGATGGATGAAATACCTTGAGTTGCAGAGACCACAGCACGAGGAGAAGATGGGGGTAGAGATCCTGGCACTCGGCCTGTGTCCACTCTTGATATAGTGTGGATGGGATGGCATCCGGTCGGGAGAAGATGGTTTCAAGAGGTCAACAAGGATGAAACGCTCCCCAATATCGTCAGAGATTTTGTAGCATCCTCATCATTTGTTTGGGAACCCAAATAAAATCATCTAAGACACCTGGGGCCTAACCCCTTGTTGAGCGTAGCGAATATAACACAATTGATACGGTAGCGGTCATCGTTTCAGACCATGATGAATGGTAGTGAAATAGTGGCGCGCCGCCGCCGTCACCGTCAAAGTAGTAATGGAACACCTCGACGTGACAGAGGCGCGTCCGACTACTAGGACGTTAGGGATCATGGTAAAAGGCTCACCGATTATCTAAGACGACTCCCGCTGTACCAGATACGGAACTAGACTCGCAACAGACTCGGAGCCAGGTCACCCATACGCAAGGTTTGGCCCAACCTGAGATGCAAGAAGCAATGATTGACCGCACTAGCATGGAGATACCTCTTTGGGTTTTAACCCTGGTTCGTCCTTGAAGCTGTAGAGAGACGTGACTGGAAACGTCAATGAGCCATCAATAAACCTTCCACAGTCTGTAGGAAACTGCCCACAGCGATGTTGATAATCCCTAGTGTTGATGATAACGTTGTGCGGAGCTAACTGCAAAGCTACCACGCGAGATTCCAATGCTCTCCGGAGATCATGGCATGTCCGTACACACGCTGTGCTGGCTTGATTGATGAGTAAATTGAATGGCGGTTCCAGCGCACTCCACCGACGCATCACTTTCGAACATTCTTCAGGGATACAAGAACTACAGTACATCAAACCAACACCGAACGCACATTACACTTGCTTGCCTACGATAGATTCAACAGAAACATCCGTTCGTCACGGACCGAGAAGAGTAGGATAAACTTGTGGCCGTCCATCTTCCGCTTGATCACAGCTTCCTTTACCTGGTGAGCATACACAGTGTGCTGGGCGGGGAAGTTCGCCAAGATGGCCTTCCACGCGTCTTCGTCCGTAATCCAACCAGTATTCTTAGTCATCTCCTCGAATACGGAAGGAGGGACATCCACTGCAAGTGTGGGCATCCCTGACATCGCAGCGTTCTTCACCTGCAAACTCGCATCGAACGCTACAGTGTCGTTGTCAGCATTTTCTACGCATTATAGGGACAATGACTAACCTCTGTCAAGGAACATCTGCTTGGTATGTTTGTTCTTCTTCTTTGTATCGCCCGGCAAAACAAGCTGCACGTCTGAGCCGCTCGTAGCCTCCCTTGAGGCGCTTACACACAACGGAGCTTCGGTGACAGTAGATACTCCAGAGATTGATAGATCGATTCGTTTCTGCTCCATGAGTTGCTGATATAAGAAGGGCACGAGCTCCTGCCGGGTTACTGTCCAGAGCACGGTCATTCACACACACTGCTGAACATTTGGAGATGCTCACCTTCATATTCGGTGCCCCTGAGAACGCTTTTGACCTTGAATGCCGTGAGATCTCGTCGTATAGCCCTCGGTCTTGGATAAACGATGAACCTGAGAAAGAAATGTGAACTGACTCCGGGTACAGAGACGTTTATCAACTCACAAGATGCCTTCACGGTAGCATATGTCGATGTGGCTCTCTTGCTCAATGTCGGGCAGACTCGACTCGTACATAACGTCTGAACTGATGTTATGCTGCCATAGCATCGCCGCCACCTCTAATCGTTCCGCTAGATATCCTGGCTGATATGAAACGACATATACGTCACAACGACGAGGACTCCAGAAGCCGAAGGAACGCTGCTCTCTGAGCAGAGTCTTGATGTACGCGCTCTGATAGGCAGCGAGGGCAAAGGTGATCTTCTCGAGTGAAATCTGGACAGCTACAGCACATATCCCGTCAGATTTCGGCTTCAGCGGAGCCAGACGCGCGATCAAATTGTCATATCTGCAATTCGGTCAGATAGATATCCGATAGTATGTTCAGTTTCAAACTCACCGGCCTCCCGCGGCAAGGATGTCTGAACGTTTGTTTCGGTTTACGACTTCAAAGCAGATGCCATCTTTGAAGTACGGGTTTCGGTTGCTTAGCATCAGAGGGTCGAAAAAGATAGGGCGCGTAACTCCGGCAGCGTTTGCGAACTGAATGGTGCTCTTCACCTCTTTGATGTAAGGTGTCAGCAAAGAAACCAAGGGAGGTGCGACCTTCTCCAGTCTGTTCATAATCGCATCGATATCCTGATCTATCCGCCGATGAGTACCGCGTTTGCCCAAAATGATAGCCGTCACTGACCAACTTCCGATAGGGTCTCGAGTTCATCAACGATGTTCCTTGCAATGCCTTTGCGGAGCAGTGACAAGCGTTTCTGAGCCTGGGAGGACTTGGTCTGGTTTAGCACTTCCGTTGCTGCTTCGCGATGTTCCGCAGGAATCCTATCCAGTGCTATCTCGAAGACTGAAGGCCATGAGAATATGACGGCAATCGACATGCAGTTGAACCTACTACGCGAGTGAGAGATGTGAATCTCATAGTATTGTCCTACATTAGCGAACTTATTGAGACACTCGTTCACAATGGAGATTCCTTCTGCCGCGGCCGCACTTGGTCCCATCAAGAGGTCAGGACTGATGATATCGAACACAGCTGCTTTGGCTACTCGAGGATGACCAGCGATGATGCTAAACGCACAATCAGAATGCAAAAAAAAATTGATGCAAACACGACGAATGAACGGACTTTGGTCGATAAATATCGCCAATATGGAAGCGCTTGATCCGCCTGGTATCCTGGCGAGCCGCCAGCCGGGCGAAGGGTAGGAGAGCATTGTTGGGTAACGACACAACTTCTCCATGCCTGTCGAGAAACACAGCTCGATTGCGCTCGTCTTCAGGATTAATCACTGGTATCAGTAACGGAGGTTCCATGCTAACAGCTCCGTGAAGGCGGAAGATCTCCACGAGGACGTCTACCACTTTGCCGTTGAGAGTAGCATGCTCTGGCAACTCGGCCGACGAGTCGTAGAGAAACCCTCGCGACGGCTTCATGGGTTGGTTGAAGAGTGAGGACAGGACAGACTGTAGGTAAGGGGAATCCTTCTTGGCTATGGAAAAAAATCAGTTTGGTTCGGTCAGTTGTCACAAGCTACTTACTCATCATCTTCAAAGCGCCCTTGAAGTATTCATCCTCCAGACGTGGTGGCAGAAGGGAACTCTGCGACAGTTCTAGCGCGCTTGGCCGGTCGTTTGGATTGTGTTGCAGCAACCAAGTGATAACTGAAAGCTGTCAGACAATGCAAACTCGAATAGCCATCAGATAACACACTCTGTCGTTGCCTAGCACGATTTGGATCCCAGCTAGGAGGAAAGAAAATGCCAGTTTTGCGCAGATCCTCCAGTACAGTGATACGCTCAGAGCCAGTAGTAAACATATAGTTCATCTCGAAAAAGACAATCTGCAGGGAACCGATAAGCGTCAGTAGAACCATCAACATACTCTTCTGGCCATCGTACCCCAAGACTGTACATATCTGCCTTGGTATGATCGCGAGGACCACCTCTTGATGACTGGACCTCAGGAGCGATATAGAGTCGTGTCCCAACATCTGTTGCAAAAGCTGTAAGAGTTGGAACATACTTGACAGTAAAACAACTTGCCAAGCGTCAATTCTGCATCATTCGCCGGGGACATCGTGACGTCGGAGGGGTCAACAGCCGCCAAGCTCGACGTCGCCAGTCCAAAATCTCCGACTGCGTCGGTCAGACAACTATTCTAATTCTCATCTGAGAAGTGAGCCATACCTTTGCAGTCGCCCTTGCCATCTGACTGCATTGTCAGTCATAGTCGGCCAGTGATAGACAAGTGAGCATACCAATGAAAATGTTCGTGAGCTTGATGTCGCGATGTAGCTGAAAATCGTTCCTTAATAGTAATAGTCAGAACGGGACGGTGCACATCCATACTCACAATACCCAGACTTGACATATGAACCAGCGCATCGACAATTTGCTGGAATAGTCGCCACGCTTCTTCTTCGGTGATCCCTTCGGCAATTCGCTGTCAACCCATGATTGAGATGTGAATCGCGACCGATGGTGAGCAAACTGACCTCCTTCAGCGTCTGGCGCTCGACAAACTCCTACAGATATTCGTGACGAACCTGATCATCGCGTGAATCAGCAGCAGCAGCTTACCATCTGGATATATAATGTCCTGGACACCGTTGGTGGTGGAGTCATCGGTCGCGAAGTGCTCTGAGGCGCAAACAAGCTGCCGAAGGCATCGTCGCTATCGGAGGCACTACCGGACGTGCCTTCACTCGTCTTCTCAATCGTAGCGCTGCCCGAACGCGTGAAATGGATACTCGGAAACGAGTGTCTACTGCCGGTATCAAGATCATCAAGGTCAATGCTAAAGGGGTCACCAGAGTCATCGCCTTTAGACTTCTCATCGGGCACCGATGTGTCTCCATCGGCAGTCTCAGTGGAATCATCCGAATCTGAAGATGCCGCCGTAGATGCCGGTTCTGACGTCTCCACCCACGTTGTGTAATAACGGACAATAAACCGATGGTTAAGGCGACTTAAAGCGTTGACTTCTCGAAAGATTCTGCTGTCGCTCTGCATGGCCCGCAGCTTAATTTTCTTGACTTAAGATAATGTTAGCTTCAATGATCACAGATCGTTTAAAATTAATCGCACCTGCATAGATCCTATTGTCAATCTTGTTCCGGGCCTTGACAACAGAGCCGAAAGCGCCACGACCCTGTACGTTGCTCAGTCCATCTCTACATGGAGCTAGTCAGTTCGCCTTACCAGAAGTTCGAGCTCCTCCCAATCCTCCTTCCATCTGCTGGCATGTCGAGCCCTTGGGGGAGGAGCACGGAAGTAGTCGGTATCCGGAGAGCCATTGAAAGGCTGCGTCGTCGGCGTTTTCGGTCCCGGCGTGCGTTGGTTACCTAAATCGAGAGCTCAGAGCCCTCTGAGGAATACGTCAGGTATCGCAACTGTACCTAGAATGGATATCGCTGGAGTGCGAGTGTGTACAGGTGATCTCGGCCTTCCTTGTAGCTCGCTGAGGAGACTGAGGCACGAGACGGGATGTTTCTTGTTCTGAACTAGCATACTCATGACTTGCTGCTGCATCGTCGGCGAGATAGTTGCTGGGTGTGGTAGCAATATGAGTCAACGCACCGTTTACGATCGACACTGGAATGCATCACGTACAATTGCGCAAAGCAGCGTAAACGTCGGGGAAGCGCTCTAGAACATCTCGCCCCATGAGCATCTGAAGGAGCACAATGCCCACCGCATGGATGTCTCGACTCCTCGTGTACACCAGGGGGGATTCGATGGCATCGAGCGGTAGCCTAAGGGGAAATGTCATGCCTAGGTGACCAGTGAAAGATCGTTGCATTTTGTACATACCATCCCTCAGGTATCGGCGGTTCGTCCACTCTCGGATCCATGTTGAAACCGAACGGATTCGAGCGGTGGAGGTCAAGCAGACGGACGTGGTATCCGACTCGAAATAATTTCAAGACCTTCGAAGCACCGCCTTCCTCGCGTTGAGACAAACCGATGCATTTCGCCGACAGGCCTGTGAGAAATTAAAAAGATCAGTGCAAGCAAGGAACGCACCACTGGGAAGAGTGACCTCGATGCACAAGGTCATTTGAGTGCACGACCTGAAGCGCGGACAGTATCTGGACCAAGTAATCCTGCAATTGTGATTGAGTGCTCAGCAGCGATGAACCTGCGCCAGAAGCAGACGTACGGCAGCACGGTCCTCGCGCATCCAGTCGCAATCCTCAAGCACATCGTGCATCGTAACTGCTGGCCGCTGCTCCGACAACAGGAGCAGGCGCGGAGAGACGCTCGAGTTTGGCTTGGTCAACTTCACCGCGATTACTGCTAGCAAGTTTCGGTGTCGCAGCACGGTCAGACGCTGTATCTCACTCTCGAGCTGCTTCAATTTCTTCCGGCCTGAAGGCGCAGCAATTAGCAGAACACCATGACATAATCAGTTGATGCCCCTACCCTGGCTGGTGGTGTAATACTGCGAATGGAACGTGATGGACAGCAGCTCTAACGGGACCGTTTCATGCATGTTGTCACAGACAGGCTCCGCTTGGTATATCGTGCCCAGGCAATCTATCCACATGCTATCGGTCGATTATCACGCTCCTACATGAAAAAACCATAGGTACCTGGCTGAGGGTGGAATAGCTTGACCTTGCTGAATCGCACACCTCGCCATTCGAGCTCTTGCGCAAACGAATCGCTCAGCGTCGTGTCCTCCGAGATGTCCGTCTCGATACTATCCGAAACCGCGCGCTTGCGAGCCCGCTCCACCCGTTCACGCTCGAGCTGCTGGCGTATTACATCGGCACGGATCTGCTCTTCGAGCTCTTGCGCTAGCGCTGCAGCACGTTCTTCTTCTTGCTCCGCTTCCTCTTCCTCTCGCTGTCTCTTTGCCTGAAGACACAATGGATCAGCCGGCCCATGTGAATAGAAACTACGCAACCCACTCGCTCTTCCTCATACGCACGCTTGTTCATCTCGGTGGCTAACGACCCGACAACCTCGACGGGCGGTGACACGTTGCTCGTGATCCACTCTTGTGCGAAGGTGACAATCTGGAAGACCATCTCGGAGCCTCTGTTCCGCTGCGCTTCTGCGTGGATTGCACTAGATAGTCTGGTAATTTCAGGGCCTTTTAGCCCCTGGATGGGTTGCTGTATTGTAAACGTAGGGCATGCTATCGTAGGGTATGTCTTGGGAAATCTGAATGCGAATAGATCAGAATCGGCATAATGCGAACAAGCCTGGAGTCAGAAAAAGCTGTAGCCGGACTGATAGGAGGTCCCAACGTCACCCTCGACTAGACAGCAAGCGACGAGCAAATCAACGCGATCCAAGCAGTAAACATCTTCTTACAATCCTCTTGTTGCGTTGTACCTATCTCAAGCAGAAATGATGACGTTTAGCGTCAGTAGAGCACGCGCCCCGGAGTCAACTGTCAGGAGCAGGGCTCAGGCCCCCCTTAAAGAAGACGCTTCTCCACTCGGCGTCACTATACGGTTGTATTGCTCATAATGCATAGCAAATTGTAGGCATAGATGTTGTGCATTTTGAGCAGTTCAACTATGTCAAGGTTAAAGGGATGAGTTGATACTCTATACCCATATGCGTCAATTGCCATGCGTTTCGATGGACGTCAGCCACGTGAACACCTGTGTCGTCGAGAGAGCGTCATGGTTTCATCTCAATATGCCCGTTTCGAGTTCAGAAGATGAGTCGCCAATCAGAGCGATGCGGAGGTTACTGCACGTTTCGCTGTGGCTGCCCGACGGGTAGAACAGACATCAAGATAGGGACCGACGAGCAAGTAGATCGGAAGCTGTGGGCCATGAACATCCTCGTGGCCAGAGCGATCTGCGCCGATCCCTTTCGCAACAGGCAAGTTGTCTGTGAAAAGTGCCGCCGTTGTAGTGAACAGAGAGACGCGCACTCACTTCGTATGCAAATGAAAATATATCTTGTCGGCATACTCGGGGTCAGAATGTGTGACTTTGATGATGAATTCTGGCAATCGAGGTGCTCCCTAAGACATATTACATTAGCTCGAGGGTAAAGAACTCAATTTGACACGTACCTTCCAAACCTTTGGAGGGGGGCACTCAACAAAATCTTCGGCATATATACTCTGCATCCACCACCATTATTATATGGATTGGCACCTCCATAAACGTCCTTCATACCTTGAGCGCAGTGATCTCCAGCTCCTGGCGTTCGTCCGTAGATTCCATGATGGTGATAACCAACAAGTAGTCGACTTGTTGCTTGAGGAGGGGAGGGCCCAGCGGACCTCGGCAGCTCAAGCCTGCATCGCTCGTGTTCTGCTCAGTGTTCGAGGTGGAGGTAGAAATTCAGAACAGAGATAAGTCAAGCAGAGTCATGCAGCTGCTGCAGTGGCAACGCGACACCATGTTCACCCGTTTTGGTATGTGTGACGGTGTGACTGTCACGCCATTGTAGATCGTTGGGCTACTCCCATTTCGGCACCCGCTTTCTCAGTAATGAGCAACCTATTGTTGGTTTTCTTGTATCCTCAATTGTACGTCGCCCAGAGAGGCGAAGATTAAGATGCTAAACTTAGGCGAGGAAGTACCAAATTGAGGTCACGGGACCGCGTTGAGCCATCGGACGCGCGTTGACGCCGCAACTCACTACCATGCGACCACTCACTTGCATTCTCTCGTCCCGGGCACTCCTTTTTATGTCCTGAATACATATCTTGGTCGAGGAGAAGAGTTGCCAGAAACGAGAGCGTCTACAGACGGCCCGAAGTCGATCCGACCCGCTTCTGAGTTGCTCATCATCAGGCGACCTGGTCAACTGCGCACTACTGAGCTAACATCGCAATGAAACATTCGGATCTAGCTGACGCGTCTCACCACGACGACGATAGGCCGTTTCGGAACTTCATCTTCTCTGTCTCGTTATCGTGCCCTCAGCACGTCTAAAGAAAGCTCGAGTGCTTTGACAGCTATTCGTGTATTGTTCCGAGGAATATCACTTGCTGAGCGGCATGTTAGTGGTGTTTCCCAAAGTCTGCATAGTTGAAGTCCGGTACGTATGATTTACTTCTTTTCGTAGAAGTATCGGCCGCTGACATTTACAGCTCACACTGATGGCTCGTCATATTCAAAGTGGGATATAACTATATACTAGACCCAGGCCGTGTCAGGACTGCAAGAGGGTGAGAACTACACTAAGAGTAGCAGCGGAGAGCAACAATCTGACATCCATGGCGCGTCAATTCATCGTAAACTCGATGGACCGTCCAAAGCACTCACAGAATATTGACATTCAGGGTGCAATACCTTTGCCAGTACCCTTGCTGGCGCTAGTTGTATCATGTCTGGTCGTAGCCGTAGTTCCAGTGGTGCCAGCAGTGGCACCAGTGTTCGTTGCATCGGTGCTACGAGTGAACGGCGGCGGCGGAACCATCTTCGTGTCTGTCGCATTATCGAAGACTGCCTTGGGATCGCCCCTCAACTCTGCCAAGCCCTCTTGCGTCTCCTGTCTGCCACTTTCTGTTTCCGCATGGTGTCCATCGGAGCCGGTCATCGAGTCGACAAAATCCATCATGCTGCCTCGGAGATAGTCACCGGCACCTGCCAGTGGGAATCGAAACATAAGTAAATGAAGTTGCGATCGTCTCTATCCTCTATCATTTGTGCGTGCCTTCAACGACGTGCCATGCGCCCCTGCAGAGGAATTTATTAGCATCTGCTCTGACATAGCGCATGAATGCGCATTCACTTCACTTTCTCGCCCAAACTGCTGCCAAGACTGTCGCCACTAGTGTTCGACATGGCGGGTGTGCGATGCACTCAAGACCGTATGTTTGTGAATGCTCTGTTGAACGAGCGAGTTAACCCATTCACGAATATATACGCAGCACTAACTCCAGGCCGCCCGCTCGATTGAGGGCATGTTACCTTGTGACAGCCCGTGACGGACTCTGTCATGTAGCAGCACGTCACGGCACCGCAGGGATTTCGAGGCATAACCTCTGTACTCCTAGTTGAGGATCCAAGATATCCACGAGTCAACACATTTGCACCTGAAGTCGTATCCGTAAGGTTTACACGCGAGCGAAGCTACGTGCCGTTCAAGTTTCCCCAGTCGGCTATCATTCATAATCCACGCCTTCTGCTGCTCATCAGTATGTCATTTGGGCCCATCACTCTATGCACCAACTGAACAAACACGATCAAGTACAGACGGTCCGGAATCGATCGGACCCGCTTCAGAGTCGCTCATCGTCGGGCGACCTGGTCAACTGCGCATTACTGAGTGAACATCGCAATGACGCATTCGGATCCAGCTGAAGAAAGCTCGAGTACTTTGACAGCTATTCGTGTGTCGGTCCGGGAAATATCAGATACATGGCTCGGTACCAACCATCTAGCCGCTCCGCTGAGCTTCACGCATCTTACTGAGCGGCATTTCAGTGGCTAGAGTTACCTGTTTTCCAAACCCTGCATAGTTCAGGTACGTATGATTTACATGTTCGTTCAAGTATCGGCCGCTGACGGTTACACTTCACACTGATAGCTCGTCATATTTAAGATGGCATATAATTATACACTAGACCCAGGCCGTGTCACGACCGCAAGAGGGTGAGGACTACACCTAGAGTATCAGCGAAGAGCGACACTCTGATATCCACGACGCGTCAATTCATCGTGAGCTCGGTGGACCGTCCAAAACACTCACAAATATTGACATTCACGGAGCAATGCGTCTGTCATTATCCGTGGTGGTACTGGTTGTATGACTGGTCGTAGTCGTAGTGCCCGGGGAACCAGTGTGCGTTGCATCGGTGCTACGAGCGGGCAGCGGCGGCGCAGCCGTCGTCGTGTCTGTCGTCCGGGTGCCATCAGTGGAGATTGCCTGGTGACCGCCCCTCATCTGTGCCACGCCCTCTTCCGTCTTCTGGTGGCCAATATCCGTTTCTGCATGGTGTGCGTGTCTATCGGTACCGGTCGCCGTGTCGGCAAAATCCATCATGCCGCCCCGAAGAGAGTCGCCGGCACCTGTCAGTGGGAAGCGAAAGGTTAGCAAATGATGTTGCGACAATCTCAATCATTTATGCGTGCCTTCAAACGTGTTCCATGCGCCCCTGTAGAGGGATTTATAAGTATCTCCTCTGACACCGCTGATGGACTCTGCGCACTCACTTCACTTTAGTGCCCCAGCTGCTGCCAGGATTGTTGCTGCTAGGATTGCTGCTGATAGTATTGTTGCTGCTAGTGTTCGACATGCTGAGTGTGTACGATGCAAGTTGTGCGTATGTTTGTGACGTTAAAAGGAGCGAGTTTGCGAATATATATGTGCAGCACTAGCTCCAGGTCCTCCATGACGTATTTCCAGGAATGATCACGTGCGATGATACGTTGTGACAGCGACTGTGACGGGTTCTGTTACGGAAGGGCATGTCACGCACACAAATTGATACCGTGCAAACGGTATCAATGTATCAGTTGTTGTGCTCCTCTATAAAATCCAGATATCCACGGCTCAACACGAAGTTTGCGTCTGAGATCGCATCCGTAAGGCTCACACACGCGCGAAGCTGCGTGCCGCTCAAGTTTCCCCAGTCGGCTTTCATTCATAATTTACGGCACCTGCTGCTCATCGGTATGTCATTTGGACTTATCACTCTATATACCAACTGAACAAACACGATCAACTATTATTCACAGTGTAAATCCTCTTGCAAGCCATTCGAGTTCAAGCGAAGACCCTGAATGGCCATACTCGTTCCTCCGACATCGTATCTCCCACCTATAAGCAAGATCCAGCATCACTCAGCTGAGGATCTCATCAGAGCCGTCCATTATCTGCGACTAATCTATAACCCAGAAGTCCGTGGCATTCGTCGCATCGACAGCAAACACAAACACGCCTCCAAGACCGCATCACCTCCCTCTCAAGACAGCGAAGATCCCGGCCTCGATGTCCTCCGTCCGGATGTCTTCGAACGTTCGTATGCCATCCGGTGGCTCACTGCGCTCATCACTAAGGCCGATCAACTTCCTAGCTATTCCGACGAGTCTGACCCTTCCACGGTAGCAGCGCAAGAAGCGCTCATCCAAGATGCTGCTTCCCTGCTTGCCATCTGCGCAGGGGCGGCCTCCGCCGGGACCGTCACGCGCGTGTTCCGCTTCCAGTATTCCGACGTGCCCGTCGAGGTTCAGCTGACGGACGTGCCGCTCGAGAACCAGGATTACGCGAGCGTAGGCGCGCAGACATGGGGCAGCGCGTGTCTGCTCGCAGAGACAATGGTCGACCGTCCGGAGCTCTTCGGGCTCGACATGCATAGGAACGGCCTGCGGGCGTTGGAACTCGGAGCCGGGACGGGCTTGGTTAGTCTGACTCTCGCGAGACTGCTCGAAGCGCGGGCGAATCCGGGATACTCGGTCGTCGCGACGGATTTATATCCCACCGTGCTGGCTAACCTGCGTAACAACTGCGAAATAAATTTCCCACAAGCATGCCCCATTCCGCTCTGCACGCACTTCCTCGACTGGTCGAGATTTTCTTCGGAAAACAACAACCCTTCGCCGCCGTTTGACCAACCATTTGACCTCATCTTGGGTGCAGATATCGTTTACGAAATTGAACACGCTCGGTGGATTAAAGGGTGTGTGCAGAAGCTCCTCCGAAAGCCCTCGTCAGACCACTCTGTCGCCCAAGCGCCGCCTGCACACTTCCACCTCGTCATCCCCCTTCGACCGACTCACGTCTTGGAATCCAGCGCTATCGAGGAGATCTTCCCACTGGCTGGAGCACACGCGGACCGCTTGGATGATATACAGCCTGCCTTGTGCGTTCTGTCCAAGGAGGTCATCGTATGCGAGGCGAATGAGGCTGTGAGGTCACGGCATAGCGAAGACGAGGTGGAATATGCCCATTATATTATAGGGTGGTCATCATGACTGCTGTGCCTCATTACGCTTCCTTTGGATCGCTCCATGACTAGACCCGGGGACTGCGGTCTGTGATGCATCGCGGATGGATTAGACTGGGTTACTTCGCTTGAAGTTGTTTCTGAGTTACTTACACTATAGATGTTCATTAACTGAAATTTCGTTCTTCAAGTGCTCGCAACGGGCTCTGTATCAAACTGCTTCGCATCTTGACAACGGATATCGCTCTTGATAAATATCACACCATAAACATATCGTTTCTCAACCGTACTCCACCGGCCTCACTAGATTAATGCAATCGGTCAATGCTATCAGGATTTTACGTACGTATCCTTGGCCTGGGCAGACTGGTCAGCCATCACCCCAAGACACGAGAGCCGCTGGACGGAACGCCTGTGCGAGGACCACTGTTAGAGTGGTCTGCAGGAAGGCTGTCCGATCCCCGCGGCCAAACGTATTCCTGGTCCTACTGCCCTGCATGGAATGCGCGATCATTCCTGCCTCTCTAAGCACTCGCGCCTGCCAGTACACCACCCTGAGATGGATACTCGCCCTCGAGCTCTCCCTGAGGCGTCATTCCTCCCGTGCCGCCTCCCATTTCCGAATTGATCGCGCGGAACCCCCCCTGCTACCCTGCTTCGCACATACGTTCCCGTGCTCACTGCTGCATCCGGCTCGAGGCAGACAGTGTCAGTGTTTCTTCCAGTGAGACGAGACATTCCTTGTTGTGCCTGCATTTTGCCGTACCGAGAGACGGGATGGTTCCAACGATGCCGTCAAGCGTGTCGAGGAAGTCGCCGCGGAACTTCCCGCCCAGTCCTCTGCAACGACAATGTCAGTGAAGACCTTGACGGTCAGTCTAAGCCGTCGCTCGCCATGGATTGATCTGTTCAGTTTCTTTAGTGAACGAGCAGATAAGACTAGTCGAAATCGTGGGGTGCTACATGCCGGCCCTCCAACTCTTATCTTTCAACAAATGGCGTTGCGTTCTGAAGATCAACGTGCCGGACGTAATAGTTCCATGCTGTCCCACCAGCAGGTTGATACCGAATAAACTCCAGTGTGCTCGGATTCATCGCTGCACGGCTACGTCCAACCTAAGCAAGCCCATTTATCGGGAGAATTGTGGACTAATGCTAGCTCGCCTACTCGCATCAATCGAGCTCGTAGTGTCCAGGTTTCCATTTGTGTCCATATCGTCCGGGAAATCGATCAAAGTGTTGGACATTTGTCGGACTCGAGTTATGAAACCTCACACTGTGATGCATTTGAACGATTCCGCGCGGGAGCTTCGAGGGATGTACGTGCTGTCATATAGCGGCATCTGATATGATGCATCGACGCGAGTTTAGAGGAGAAGGAGAAGACAAGTTTGCCATTTTACAGGTAATATGCATATTGGCGTCGTGAAAATGGAAAACTGAAACCGCTTTCTCTGAACGACCTGACCTGGCGATTCCTATCCCAATCTGCGACGCATTATTTCTTAACGTGCCTTCGGATATTTCCATGAGCTGACGATTGCTCGTGCAAGGGTCAGCCACCTACAGAGATCGCATTTCCGAAGTATTCAGAATGGTCAAATGTAGGTCATCGGTTTAAACGTCAGTCTCCAATGTCATATTTATTCGCATCTCAACATCAATATACACGTTTTTGTTTGTCGATGTACCTACAAAAATACCGAGAGAGACTCAATACATAGAACAACCAGCTCCAAGATCGGATCGCTGAAACTGCATAAATCTCAAAATACGTGGAAGCATACTTGTTGGATGACTATACGATCGGGTACTACACCACGTTTGCATTGCCTTGGCTGAAAGTGAAGGGCAATGCGAAGACTTGGACAGTTTAAACATCCAACTTGACGAGGTGTCAGCATGGCTCAACTGCGCCCTTATGATTCAGAGGTCACCCACCATATTGTCGCGAATGGGTGCGGATGCTTTGTATTCATTTAGGTCCCGTAAGCCCTCGTTCTGTTCACTACTTCATTTCGCCCTCAGCATTTTTACCGATTATATACAGGAAGGTGCACTTACACAGTTTCAAGGCGTGATGAAGCATGCGGTATATGGATTGCCTGCCGTGTCGATTCTGTGACGCCCTTGTACTCATCCGACGAATGGTCCTGCGGGTTCCTTAGGTCTGAGAGCACAATTGTATCCTGCACATTGACGTGAGACTTCCGGAGGACACTGCGAGCATTCATCCTGAAGAATGCAGCAATAGCAAATCAGCGCAGGCTCCGCGTGTACTGTCTGGTCACCGATGAGTTCTGTCAATGGAGACATACATAGCCATATACATGTTCACGTATACTGCACAGAAGAAAGATTGATGATACACTGACGAAAGATAGCATAGACGTGTGAACTCACATTTCGTGAGCATTAGCAAGACGCTATTGTCGTAGCTCTTTGGAAGAGTAATTTTCTATACCGGTTGTCATGGCCGGTCGCTTGAACAACGTGTAATCCGACGCACCAGGATGATAGTGATAAGAGAAAACAGCCTAAGGCAATACATTAGCAAGCGTTCTCAACAGAATGCTCAACAGCTTTCACCAAGTCAGCATGCCAGAGTTGACGGTGAAAAACACCATGGCAATGACTCGCGAATTCGTGCTGGGATGAAGATAGCCAGATCAGTGCCTATGAGCACACAGCAGCAATTGTAATCTTACCCCTTATATGCAGTTCGACAACGCAACAGCAAGTAACATAGGGAGGCCGCTACTAAGGTGTCCAGCACCATGCTTGCCCCTAGAGGAAAGTAGTTGACAAACTACTCTGACAGTCAAATTCAAGATACGCTGATAGGCTCGACGGACGTACAACATCATTAATCAAATCGGGGGTGGCAGCGTCCTTGTTGAAACTATCAACGAAGACGTTAGGTGCAGATCAGTATTATATGAGTATTCCACCAACATACACGCGATACAGAACGACTGAGACAGATAAATGAGTAATAGAATCATTGGGCAACCAGACTCGGCAACTGACCTATGCTCCCACCTACATCGAGTATTGATGGTCAGCGAATTTTGATGTTACAGGCGCGTCCAATTAACGGGAGCTTAGAGCTACCTACCGGCTACGCCAGCCAAGATAACACTCTGGTGGACAATGGACATTATGACTGAGTAATGATAAGTCAGAGGAGGAGACAGCCACGCACGAGGAAAACGGGTAAAACTCTTTTATATGGGCCATCACGGTGCACTTTGTCACTTACTGGGAAATTGACGGCGAGCCCAAACATATATTGTCAGTCTTCATTAGGTGATTAAGCATAGAAACGTGCATACACCTCCAGATTCTTTCAATGTACAAGCTGCACATAACAGCTTGACTTAGTACTAACAGAAGGTGAGTTGATGACTAGCTCACGCATGAACCGATACTATAAGCGCCATCTGGAGAATTGTCAAACAGAGTTATGCGAATATATGTTTGCGTAAAATACCTCAATAAGGCCTTGTGCCTGATAAAGTCAAGCGTTATCAGCTACATGTACCTGCAGTGCACGGCTACATAAAGGCTTACCTTGACGCTCCACGATACCGTCAGTAAGCCAAACGGATTGGCGAAATCGGTGATATTATAAATGTACGCTATATCAAAGCAAAATAGCAGATGCAGAACATCTAGAAGCCTATGAGCAGTTAGCTCTGAATCTCCCTCAAATTGGAAGATGATGTAGACATACCACAGCCATACAACTCCAACTTTGGCTGAGAGTGGATCGCGGGGATACCACATAAAATATATCACAACCTGTACGTTGGCCATTCCTACAAGGCTGTGATCCATGTCAGATATCAAACAGTATAAGCTGGTTTGCAAACGCCGCACATGGCCGAAAGGAAGACTGTCACGAGAGTACTTCCAATATTGCCGCTATATTCGCCCATGGTGTTCAAATATTGCACTAGGTCCAGGAGGCAAATCACGAATCAACCGGTACTCTTAGAAATTTATTCTGTCTGCTTGCCTTTATACGGTTTTCTCCAGAAGAACTGACCTAACAAATCAATGTACAGCCCACCGGAACAAGATGAACACTCAATGTGTGGTGCTGCAAACGATCATCGGACTCGAGTCTTGACATCTAAATGTTGGCGTTGAAACTTTACGTGTATCGCACCACCTGCTTCTTCGATATGTGGCGCAATTGGAATAGAAACTAAAGTTCATCACGATCGTGATGTGATTATTCCCGCCATCTCCTTGAGCGGTAATTCTGAACTGGCGTGCATTGAATATCAATAAAAGAAGTCCTGGCCTGTTCACCTGTAGCATGGGGTATACACTACTCTGCGCTCGGATACCGTCACACTCAAAGCGAACAAATTGTGAGGATATCACCGAAGATAAGGTCATCAAGCGAAACTTCAAATAGAAAATAAATAAAGTTATTCTTACGAGATTGTTACGTCCATTAACCCCCACCCCCGGGGGGTGATAGAGCAAGTGAGAGCTGGAAAACGCCCTTGAGCTACATCTGACAAAGCACGGCCATATTCATTGAATCATGCAAGTCGAACTCGCCCACTGTGGTAGGTTCAGCCTCTTGGCATCGAGACGGCACAGCTACGAGCGCAATTAAGCGACACATGGCATGAGGAATCTTGAAACATACGATATATGAATGGAAGCACCGATGCATATCGCGAAGTACATCAACAGATGTTCCAAATGCCATATTGCACGACAGATGTGTTCCTGGATGCTGTATTGATATGAACGATACTGATCAGTCATCCGGTACGATTAATAGACAAAGGCCTGAAACAGTCGTCAGCTGGAAAAGCAGTAAGTGCCATCAAGGGACGAAGTGGCCAGACCGCAGCAGTAGCGCAGACTGCTATTACTCCTACGTGATATTGGTGATACATCGTATCCTTATTCCGCAGGACGGTGCAGTCGATGGGGTTAAGTCACGCGCACATCATGGATCATCAACCATCATAGAAGTAGTATGACATGAAGTCAGGAGGAAGGAAGGGACGTTTGGTAGCTTATGTATTTCAAAGTTGACGGCGCGAAGACCGTGACGGTGCAAAGTGGGAGTTAGAACAAGAGAAGACGATACAGTCAGCGCCTTGCAACTCGCGCATCTCATATCAATCGTTGCCGGTTGATCGCTGAGATATTCTGTGATAGAAATAAAGCCCTCTGTCTGAAACGGTGTTGGAAAGCACACGAGGCAGCCACATCTAACAAAGGCGAGATGAACAGAGGGGAGGCACGGAATCGAGCATGATGGGCAGCATCATACCAGAAGAATAACCAATAGGAGAAATGCAGCTGCAAGGCACAACGTTTGAATCGGCACAGATGCCGGAAAATCTGATTAATATTGGTTCTGCTCGACAGTAGAGAGAGGATGAAGACGGGACGCCACCGACCAAGCGCGGAGACGGAGCTTCATTTGAATCGGAGTTCAAATGATGACGCCTCCCTCATCGCGTGTTGCCTTCGTCGTCGTCTACACCAGTCCTCGAGAACACCGCCAACTATGGTAAGCTATATGTCGCTGGATGACTGCTGCACGATGCACACGGATGTCTCTATCGTGGAATGTCAGGGTTGTATCATGCATGGGGGATGGATAGTGCGTGTCTCATCCAGATGTACGGTGCGAAGATTGTCTGACCTCTTTGCGCCTGCAGCACCCAGCGCATTCCATCAGCGTCGACCTCGCTGAGCTCGAAGTGTAGAGCGATGAAGTATCAATAACAGTCACGCTGGGCTCGTGTTCTGATCGCCATTCGTGGTGGTCAGACATGAGCGTTAGAGCTCCGAGTGCATCGTGCAACGATCTGCTCTCTATGCAGATCTGCAGAATGCTGATGTTACTCGTCTCAATGACCAGCCTAAGGCCAAAGGATCCGGCAAGAAGCCCGCCCCCGCTCCCGGCGGCAGCAAGGTGACCAAGACCCAGAAGAACCCTCTCTTCGAGGCTCGCCCGAAGAACTTTGGCATTGGTCAGTATCTTGCGGGATTACTACGTTCGTTGGCTCATTGGTTCTCAGGCCAGGACATCCAGCCCAAGACTGACCTGACACGCTTCGTCAAGTGGCCCGAATACGTCCGCCTCCAGCGCCAGAAGGTCATCCTCAACCAGCGCCTGAAGGTCCCCCCTGCCATTGCCCAGTTCTCGCACACACTGGACAAGAACACTGCCGCGCAGCTGTTCAAGCTGCTGAATAAGTATGTGTATTCCGTATCGTTCACCAACGTCTCGCTCTAATCCGTATCACAATAGGTACCGCCCTGAGACGAAGCAGGAGAAGAAAGCTCGTCTCGATGCCGCTGCCAAGGCCACTGCTGAGGAGAAGGAGGCTCAGGCTAAGGATTCCAAGAAGCCATTCTTCGTCAAGTACGGCCTCAACCACTGTGTTGCTCTCATTGAAGCGAAGAAGGCTTCGCTCGTCATCATTGCCCATGATGTCGACCCTATTGAGCTCGTCATCTTCATCCCTGCGCTCTGCCGCAAGATGGGAGTTCCTTATGTCATCGTGAAGGGCAAGGCTCGCCTCGGTACGGTCGTCCACAAGAAAACCGCGGCTATTCTCACCCTCCAGGATGTCAAGAGTGAGGATACACGCGAGCTTGCCACTCTCGTTAGTGCCGCGAAGGCAAATTTGTGAGTCCTCATCCCATTTGCAGTGGTTGGTATCAGCTGACTTCGTTGAATACAGCTCTGACAAGTATGAGGAGCAGCGCCGCCAATGGGGTGGAGGCATCCGTGGCAAGAAGTCGGCTCAGATGTTCCGCAAGCGTGCGAAGGCCGCTGGCCAGACTATCACTGAGGCCAGTGCTCAGAAGCTCTAAGTCTCCTTGCTGTCTTGGGCTGTTGGGCATTGCTGGAAGGATGGCTGCTAAAAGACGAAGCCTTCGTGCTTGCCGGTGCACTGTCGGACTATGCTACTGCTGCGTGTTGTATGACACATATGATGGAGATGCACAATATCATGCGACGTTGTACTGTGCTCATGAAAGGATCGGGCATCAGAGAATACAGTTAGCAAGTGGCCAGGGTCTATATATCTCACTCGTCGTTCCCTCGCGAAAATATGCGCATCAGATCATGTCATGTTGTCGACCAGGGACCATAGGGACACTACATGAATGTTCTAAACTTTCGTGAGAATTTCTGACTCAGCAACTAGAACTAATGCTGTCAGCGAATATCTCCACCTAACCTGCCCCCTTACTCTAACTTCACAATTCTTTCAGCGACTCGATCACTCCAGCCATGGAACTTTGGTTCCAACGCCCTCCCCAGCCCATCCGTCGTTCAGACCTCCGAGTACGAGGAGTCGCCCAGTTAACGCTATCACGCGAGGTACGTTTGGAGTTGATGAAAGACTCCTGAACGACGGTGAGGTGCTGTTGTGCTTGCGCGGGGCTTCGCGGACGAAGCGAGCGCTTCACCCAGTATGGCGCGCGGGGCGATCGCACGTCTTGGATTGATGGCGAGACGGGCGGAGACGGTAATGGGCCTGTAGGAGCTGGGAACGGCGGCAGGGGGAACTCGAGCGGACGCGTACCGAACTCCGTGCGGAAGCGAGACATGAGCTTCGCATCTGCGCCGACGATGGACTGTCTCGCACGCGCGATGGAGCGTTTGCGCTCGAGCTTGCCTGGGCTGTGCTGGGGCGCGATGATGGGGACGTCGAAGTGGATATCGCGATCAGCAGATGCCTCGGAGTAGATTGAGGGCGAGATGAGATATTCCGGGATCGTGAAGGCACTCATAATCGTTGTGGGACGAGCGGGATATGAGGGAGACTGGAGAGGCCGAAGTCCTGCGCTACGCCGCGGACTTGCGATCTCCGACGCATCGTCGAGCGAATATAAGCCTTCCACAGAGCGGCTCCTACGTTTCCCGCTGTAAATCCCCCGGCTCACCCTCCAGCTCGTGCCATCGCCGCCATTGGCACTCAGCAAAGCGCCTCCATTCAGGACTTCTCGCTGTGCGGCGGATCGCTTGTTTGAGAAATTCGCGTCATCAAAGGAATGCAAGTGGTACAAATCAAGAAAAGATGTGATTTGTTCCGCGTTCTCCTCTACTTGGCCGAAGGAAGGATATACCAGCTCCTGCGGGACGCTGATGGTGGCGTACAGTGCCAGCCTCTCCAGCTTCTCGAGTTTTGCAAGTTTGCCCTCTTCCACCTTCGCTACAGTGATTGGCGACAGAGATAGATGGGGCGAGAACGGTGACAGACCCGGAATACCTGTTGTGCTACAAATGGAAGCCTTTAAGCCAGAATAAGTCGTTAATCTTCGGAGGAACTCACCTGAGCACACTATACCGGAGAGGCGAAAGTGGCATAGCCTCCGTTCGCGGGGCTTCGGCAATCGGCAGTGCCGTGGGGACATGTTTTCTGCGAATCTGCTGGCTCGTCGCTCGCCTGTTCGCGGTAGTCGTGACCGGACTATCGATGCTTGTCTCATTCGCCGGAATTCTATACCTAAGCACAGGAGACTCCACCATCTCTCGGGGGGCAGGGGATTTGGGCACAACCGAGTGGAAGAAGGCCGCAGGGGACATCAGAGACTTTCCAGTGCCGACCGGCGGGCCATGAGAGGCGAAAATCGTAGAAGACGGAATCGCTGAAAAAGTCGTGCCGCTCGTCGGAGACTGGATATCGATGACGGGCGTCGCACCAAGCACTCTGCTAACTTTCTGGCTGGACTTGATCAGTCGTACACGCTTCTCCGGCTCGAGCTTGAGCAGTGCAGGAGAGAGCGGCGATGCAGCAGTGCTCCGTCCGAGCATGCCAGCGGTCCTGTGGAGCATCGTAAAGGGTCGTGAGGTTGGGCGTGAAAGCGAAAGGATGCGTGATGGGTCGTAGAGTGGACCAGCCACCTAGGGAGGATTATGGACGCAGAGTGTACTGTACCTCGTCGCCAGGACCGAGAGAAGTGGTCCATGGTGGAGCGATGGCTATATGTGTACGTTACGCATGCACTGCCTGCGTAGTGAACCGTGCTTTGGTACATAGCCTCAGCGCCCCGTCCATCAGATTCTCGCCATCGGACATCAACCGGAAAGTGATGCGACTGTCGCACCATGTTCCATGAGCGAGACAGACTTTGTATCCAGGTACCATTCTGCAAATGCATTCCGTAAGCCGTAGTATTCCGTGCCCTACTTGGAGAGTCTCGCGGCACACTTGACGTGGCCATGGCGCGGCTGCAGAGCGATTCCATTCAGTTGGGGAACAATTTCGTCCTCGAGCACGTGGCCGCTTTGATGGACATTTTAGCGCCTTTGCAACCATGGGAATGTCGATGTCGTCAAGGCAAGGAGTGCGGTACCGCGCTCAAGACAACAGAAGTAGACTTTGTCATCGATTGCCATGAACAACGCATCACAGTTATATGACGATGACAGTTGGTCGCTCGTCTACCGAGTTGGCATGCCCAGTGGTGTTGATCAACAAATATCCATTGGCCACGTATGCAGCGATCAGATGTTTAACATTTGACGAGCTCAGCGTCAGGCGAGGTGCGCTTCGATCGCCAGCAGGACCTCGTTAAGGCTTTTGATGAGAGCGAATTCTCGACGGTCCCGTTGAATGAAATCATCGTAGCATTTCTGGACACGTTCCTTGACGAAGCTCCATGGAGGCCTCAGTTCGGGAGGTGCAGGCTTCCAGTGTCCTGCTGCAACTGTACTCTGCGTCCGGTCGGTCAAGCACCTCATGCGATAGTTATCGGACGGGGTTCTCACCTCGTTGGAATTATACGTTGCTATTTGTAACGCATGAAGGACCATCTTCCAAAACGTTACCCAGCTTGTGAATCCGGTCCATTAGGTGTAGTCTAAAGCATATAACGGACGACTCACTTCCATCCTGCATCCTTCTCAACTACATCCTGCACGATCTGCACCCACTCCTGCTGCCAATCGTCATCCTCAGGTGCATTTTCGGAGAGCATGTCCTTCACATCTTCCAATGCATGTTCGACCTCGAGTACCTTGGCGCACATTGATTCATATAGAGAAGGGAGGTTTACGGAGTTGCACCAATTGTGGTTAATGGATATGCAAGCTGTCAGGTTTTCGACCTGCGATGCGTTCGCTAAATTTAAGTGTGATACAAAAGCCAAGACTGAATACCTGATGGTACCACCCGCTTGGGCTATACGTGACAGACACATGATCAACAAGGTTCATGTCGATGATGCATTCTGGTAGGTGCTCACATGAAAATCGTGTCTCCTTCCTTCTGTTCAACTACAATGGGCTTCGCCTTCACAAATTCGGGAACTTCCATTGGATCCACATCCCTCACGTCGAAGGCTGTCTCTAAATGCTCTTCGCGTCCTTTCCTGAATAGATATGACGTCTGTTCAGGCGGAAAGAGCCACCAGCGCTTTCTCCCGCAGACATTCGTTGACCAGGAGTACGACGAGTAGACGTCCCGATGCAGCGGTGTGAACGTGCCTGCAGCACCGACATAGACAAAGCGAAAGTCATCATCTGTGCAGGCCGAGTAGTAGTCGTTCATCCAATCGTCCTGGAAGATCTCAGGTGTCGAGTAGAACTCTTCCGATCCCAAAACTGCTCGCGCAAGATGCCAGTCCTTGACATAAAGCGAATCCCCTTTCCCAGCTTTCCATAATGCAACTACATCACGTAGAAGCATTGTCTGCCGCTTTTGGTCGCTGAATTCGCGAGTGGAACAATCCGCCACAGTAACGGTCTGTTGGCCGTAATTCTTGGACAGATAGTCCCAATTGATCCGCTGGCCGGGTAGCACCCATTCCTTGAAGGCAGGCCATGAAGACACAAGTTCGGAGCCAATGATAACTGGATTGTTTGGAATGAGGTAGGAAACCAGAAACTCTTCATATTTGGGAGGTGTCGCGAGATATGAGCAGACGTTTTCGCCGTCCATCAATGTTACAAGAAACGGCGGTTGCAAGTTGCGACAGAGAACTTGAGATAGAAATTTTGCATGCTAACCGGTAAACGTTTGCAGCGCAGAGGATGAAGCTTATGGGACGAGGCAGAAAACTTTAAAGCCCGGTGTGCGAAGCGTTCGAGACAACGTTCACCCTGGATGTTGACTCTCATTGACGCGCGAACACGCGAACGCAAATAATACAGAATCTGTGTTTAGGCATCCGAATCTCCTACAAGCTCCATGCCAGCAAAAATCTCAATCCAATCATCCAAACGCTCTTGGATGAATGTGTCCAGATCCCACGGACCCGATGTGTGAAGGATCTCAGGAACTCCTGGGTCCGCTCTCGCCTATCCCGTCAGGGATCTCTAGCTTAAGTGGAGGAGTAAAGACCAACTCGAAACTGAG